ACACTGTATCCGCTTACCATGATTACGGTCTGGACACACACACGAGAAGAGCAAGTCATGGAATATCCATATTTGAGGGAAAAGGGGAATATAAAGTTGACATTCACAAACCTCACAAAGAATACGTGTGTGTGTGTTTCTCACTTTGATATATGCAGGTGGAGGACACACACACACACACACACACACACACACACACACACACACACACACACACCCTCTGAACACTGGCATATGTGTGTGTGTACGTGTGTGTGTGTGTGTGTGTGAGTATGTGTGTGTGCTATTTTTATTGTTATTTGATTGGAAAACCAAACACGCCCACACGCAGTTCAATAACAGCAGGACGTGACGAGACGGTGTGTGAATGTGTTTGTGTGTGAATATGTGTGTGTGTGCGTGTGTGTGTGTTATATGTAGTGTCAACGGCAGAGTTAATTAAGGCATGGCCCCCCGTGACATTCACTGTAATGAGTCCAGTTATTGTCTGTGAAGTTTTCCTCTCTTCCTACATCCTATCTCCTTCACTCACTCTTCAGTTCGTGATACCAAGTAGCACCTGACTTTGCTGAGTTTCAACATATTTTTCCACCAAACAATATTTCTTTAAATTATCATATATGCAAAGCCAGACAAACTGCTGATATCAGTATCAGTGTTGTGCGTCTGTGAATGCTGTGTTCACTGGGCTTAGTCTAGGTCACTTTAATGCAAGATAATTCATTCCTCAAGTTAAAAGTTATTTGACAAAAGCATACATTTTACTCAGTTTTGAAGAGAATGTAATGAGGAGTGTGTGTGTGTGTGTGTGTGTGTGTGTGTGTGTGTGTGTGTGTGTGTGTGTGTGTGTGTGTGTGTGTTTAGGGTGGCTGAAGTGCACTTATCTTGATGTCTGTTTGCTTGTCTGTTCAGATCAGAGCAGAGGTCAACTGACTGGAGTCCATCTGGGCACGAGTTGATGTTGTTTTTGCTTTTGTTTGTGCAATGTGTGTGTGTGTGTGTGTGTGTGTGTGTGTGCGTGTGTGTGTGTGATAGTCTTGGAGTACGTCTTGAGGAGCAGCAGAGGGGAGTTTAAGGTTATTCTATTGTTGTCAGGGCATATTTTAATTATATGCGAGGGTCATTTGCATGTCACAGCTAGCGGCGGCGGGTTGGGGGGGGGGTATTGATTATTTGGGGGTGCAGCTAGAGACAGAAGGGAGCTGAAAATGCTGGCAGAGGCCAGGAGGTCAAGCTTAGATACACACACAGACAAACACACACACACCAGATAGATACATAAAACTGAAAATGTCTGTGTTTCTGTCTCAGCCGGCCTCAGGCCAGCTTAAACTGCTTCTCTCTCTAGACTTGCTCTTTCTGCATTTCCTCTCTCATCCGTAACTTTTTTCAGATTTAGGATTGACTGAGACAGTTCCTAAACAGAATTGATTGATTATCTTCCCTCTTATTACCCTGTTTGTTTTGTTGTACCTGTAATTATTAAAAATGATGTCTGTTTAAAGGAGGGCGGGCATATGAACATTATATAGCCGTTTTCGTGTTAAGGCCCCTACACACCAAACTGACACCAAAGAACATGTCCCGAAAGAACACGACTGTTGTGTCGCCTCACGTCTCCTGCGTCTTAGCCAAACAGTCGCACTGGAACACACCGCAAAGACTTCAGCTGACGGCCAAGTAGCACGTACGCACTGCGCATGTGTGAGTGACAATAACTCTCCTTACCAGCAGGCGGCGGTAGTGTGTATTCGTCATTCAAAAGAGGCAACAACCGGAAGACAGACTGCGTGATATATATACAAACAACAAATAGCTAGCTACATCGAGCCAAGCAGCACAGGGATGAACTATGCCAATACTTTTAACAGTATCGGTGCAGTGCCTTTTCAGTGGGGCAAGATATAGCAAATATGTGTGCCTATCCTGCTATTTGTGTTTATTCTTTTAATCACACAGCGTTAAGAAAAAAAAAATGTGCCTACATAACTGTCAGTTGCAGCCCTAGCATTATTATTGGTTTAGCTGGCTCTGGCATAGGTGGGCCGTGGACTTTCACAGTGCCGCTGCACCGGTATCGCACACCGGCCGCCGCAAACACTCGCCGTTGTGAGGCTCCGGTGGCAGCAGCGCTGTGAAAGTCCACCACCGTTGCGAGTCTCCGGCTGTAACAGTTCACTACCGCCCGCGAGGACCCAGGTTCGATTCCGGCCTGAGGTCCAAAACATTTATTTAAAAAGAAAAAAAAGGAAAAATCTCCCGCTCATTGCGTCCATTCGCGACTCACCTATCACATCTCTGCGCCCCACCAGTGAGGCGCGCCCCACACTTTGAGAAACGCTGCTCTAGGCCAACGTGACATCTCTCTGCTGCTTCCTGATCGACAGCTGGATTCAGGGTCTGCAACATCTTAAAGGTCCTTATGGGGGGGGCAGGTTTGCACTCTGCTTTGGTGAACAGCTTCATGTAGATGTGATTATTCTCCGACTTTGGGCAAGACAGCAGGTAAAGGTGTACAGCAACATGTTGTGTATTCCTTTACAAAGTGTGTATAATTTGATAGGATAGTGTTTACCATCATATTACTGTCTGTTTCCATGTATTTCTGCCTGGTTTTACATACACATACACACATGTCTATCTGACTTGCAGCCATGTCTCGTCCATGAGAAAACGCAGATAGCCTGAAGCTGAGGGGGTTTACTTGCCTGCACTGCATGGACAGCTCTGTGTGTTGGTGTGTGTGAGATGTGAGAGTGTGTGTGCATGCATGCTCGGCATTCATGCATGATCGGCCCTGTCTTCTCCGTGACCCGCGTGTGTTCTGCGTGTGAATGAGATCACGCATGGCTGAGAAGTGTGTGTTTGAGATTTTATAGGTTACATGTACATGTGGGGAGAGTGGGAGGGATGCACCATTTTATTTCATCAGAAAGACCCACTGAGATCTGTGTCTTTACTCAGAAAACCACAAAGAGAATGCATACTGCTCATTTATGTCCACATTCACATTACCATTTTCAGATCTGCACATCTCGTCAAACGATTCACTTTTAAGCAACAGAAATGTTCATTAAAGTCCTCACATGGTTTTTTCTCTCCTCAAAACCCCCTTTACAATGTAGTAGAAGAGAAAACACCAACATTCTCTTCACATGTGTATTAGTGCCTTTACTTGATAAATTATATTTAAGAAATGTTCTGGTGATCAACAAACCAAAGAATCATCTTCCTACCTAATTCTTATTTGATCGTGATTTTTTCTTGTAGCCAGAAAAACTTGAATACTAGCTTCACTACATTATACTACACCTAAAATACACATGTTGTGCTACCAGGAAATGATGTGATTCAGCACCAGGCATCAGGTGGAGACCTGGGATAGTTCCAACACTTACACATTGACATATTAGCAGTGGTGTTGTGTAGTGTAGTACATTTGATCAAGTATTTACTTAAAGGTAGGGTAGGTACGTTTGAGAAACCGGCTCGAGATCGCTATAATTTGAAAATACACAACCGGAGAAAATCTGCCACTTCCTTACAGAGCCCCTCCTCCAACACACACGAACGCGCACATGACCAATGAGGGCACGAGATAAGTTAGTGCACAGATGGAAGGCTGACAGGCAGGTAGGCCATCCAGTTATTTTAGCCGGGCCGGCTCAGATGATTGGTCGTGCTTTTTACAGTATTACGGCTTCCACAGATGACATTTTTTTATGGATTTTTTGTCAAAGCACTTAAGATATTCATTGCTATCGTGATGTTAAGAGCATTCCATGGAATATAACAAAAACTGTATCTCAAGCCGGTTTCTCAAACTTACCTACCCTACCTTTAAGTACCATTTTAGGGTACTTGTACTTTACTTGAATATTCTTATTTTATGCTACACTTTACTTCTACTCCACTGCAATTTGGAAGCGAATATACTTTTTACTCCACTACCTTTATCTGAGATCATTAGTTACTGGTTACTTTACAGATTCAGAGTATTAGATAAAGCAGAATAAAACTGATAAATATACTATGATATATAAGTATAGGTTAAGATATCCAGCAGCAGTATATCAAGTAATTAAGAGTAGCTCCACCTTAACTAGCTGTGATTAACACATTAATGCATCAACAAAAATAATCTGGTAAATTCATATAAATGATTCTAAAATGGGACAATCATTTACGCACAATAAGTACTTTTACTTTTAGTACTTAAAGTATATTTTGATGTCAATACTTCTGTACTTTTACTTAATTCAGTTTTAAATGCAGGACTTGTACTTCTATCAGAGTATTTGTACAGTGTAGTATTAATACTTTAACACAGCTTCAGTTCTTTGTTTTTCACTTCCTGGTCGAGTCCAACAACTAACCAGTGTTCGAACTTACTACATTTGCTCAAGTCCTGTACTTAAGTACATTTATGAGGTATTGTACTTTACTTCAGTATTTTCATTTCATGCTACTTTATACTTCTACTCCACTTTGTTTTGAAAGCAAATATTGTAGTGGCCACTTTCGATAATGAGTACTTTTAGTACATTTCCCTTTGCTTTTGTAAACTGAAAAACTAAACTTTAATTACAGGTTTCACATACCTGTATTAAGTTAGTTGAAAGCAATAGTATGAAGTTGAACCAATTAGTGTTTATTTAAACTTAAAATGTGTTGACATAATACATTTGATTAAAGTCACTGTTTCAGTTTTGAAGTATAAGATCTACTGTAAGAACTTCTTACAAAGCTGCAAATAACTCCACTTTTCTTCTGAATCCTCCTCTGTGATGTCACTCAGGCGTGTGGGCGGGGCAAAGGTTACTGTCAGTATTTGACTTGCATCTGTGTGTGGGACAGTAGCGCACAGCTTGTAACGTGTGAGAGTGTGAGTGTGTTTGACAGCAGTGGAGCTTGTGTGTGTGTCTGGGGCTCATTAATAATTCATGAGGTGGGAGGGGTGAAGCAGAGGAGGCGGTGACAGATGGAGAATCAGTGTGTGTGTGAGAGAGAGAGTGTACGGACTGAAAAACAGTGAGAGCAAAGAGAGGCAGAGAAAGGGGTAGTGAGGAAGAGGGAAATGGATGGAGAGAGCAGAGTGTAGTGTTTTGTTTCATGTTTCCAGTTGTTACATGTGCTGTGTCTGGAGCTGGACTTGACTGACAGACGCTCAGTCTTTGTTTGCTGTTTCTCGTTTGTTTCCTGGATGCTGAAGGATTGATGGGGATGGAGATACAACACACTGCTCTGCTGTTCACCTGGACGCTGCACTGACAGAG